ATACAGAATGTGAGGGGTTTAAACTTGTTGGCTGGCACCGAACCACCCACACCCCTCCCCAGCCCCAACCTAGGACAGTTGTGTAACAGTACAATATCAGAACAAAGGGACAGTGGTGTAACAGTACAACATAAGAACAAACTGTAAACATAAATCGAAAAGGACTGAAGTCATTAGATCGACACAAGGCAGAAAAATATCAAACAAAAACACCGAGCGGCATCCCCACTACATAAAAGACAACAAGTACAGATCTTGACAGCTAGTTCAAAGCCAATAAGAACTACTAGTATTAAAAAAAAAACATGCATATAAGGCTTTAATACCAATCAGTACACATCTCACATGCAATGCATACAAAGCAGATTGAAGACAATATCAAACACTTGAAATCCAGAGCACTAAAAACTAAAAAAAAATCGAAATTTTGAACCAAATCTAGATTAAGTAATCAAGGCCAAATTCAAGCCCTTTTTTGTTCGGTAGTAGACCAAATTTCAGCGTAGAGCCACTCAATGAATAAATATTACTTTACATTTGTAATCAAGTATTGGAAATAAACATTGTTTTCTACTTATAAATATATCTTCATAAATCTTAGTATAATCACTTTTGGGACAAAACATCAACAGAAATCAACAAAAAATTAATAGCAGAATAAACTGAACCTGTTAAAACAAACACAACAATTTTTGATAAATATTTCTCAATATTACAAATAACATAAAAATATCCGTTTTGGAAATTTAGAAATCTTGCAAAATTTATATATTTATCTACATTTGTAAGTTATAAATCAAAGTGTAAAAGATTAACAATAGTATGTTATATCATCCGAGTGAGTATACCAAGTACATGCTAATATCAATGTACTAAAAAACTTAATATACTTGTCTTTCTATGTTGTGATGTTACACTATTGTTTCAGAAAAAGGGTGAAGGTTTGGTACCATTAAAACGTTTAAATCCGCTGCATTTGTTGCACCTGTCCTAAGTCAGGAATCTGATGTTCAGTAGTTGTCGTTTGTTGATATGGTTCATAAGTGTTTCTCGTTTCTCGTTTTTTATATAGATTAGACCGTTGATTTTCCCGTTTGAATCGTTTTACACTAGTAATTTTGGGGGCCCTTTATAGCTTACTGTTCGGTGTGAGCCAAGGCTCCGTGTTGAAGACCGTACTGTGACCTATAATGGTTTACTTTTATAAATTTTGACTTGGATGGAGAGTTGTCTCATTGGCACTCATACCACATCTTCCTATATCTATCTAATTAATCAAAAGAAATGGATACAACAATATGTTTGTTGACCATTAAAAGAGTAATGGGTAACTAGTTTTCGATCTCAAAAGCTAGGTTTTTTTAAGGATGAATGTTTAATCGCTCGTTGACCTGAAAATTTGTTTTTTTCATAATATTTATCTATTTTGTTTTTTATCCTGTGGTATTTTTAGACAATTATTATTTATAAAATAGACTGTCAGGATTTATGTACAGTCTAGTTAAATAATCAAAAAATTGAATAAATTTGTCAACCCTTTCGTGAAAATTTATACAACTTAGATAAAAGCTTCTTCACTATGATAACACTTAGAGTGAAATGTACATTTTCTGATCCATATGTATGTATTATACTGATAAATAAAATTGAGAATGGAAATGGGGAATGTGTCAAAGAGACAACTACCCGACCATAGAGCAGACAACAGCCGTAGGCCACCAATGGGTCTTCAATGCAACGAGAAACTCCCGCACCTGGAGGCGTTCTTTAGCTGGCCCCTAGTTCAGTGATAATGGACGTCTTCATTTTTTTACAGTCAACATTACACTTTAACACTGACATCAACAGTTACATGTGTGACCCATGATGGTATGATACCCTATACAATTTTCTTTGAAAATATTTTATTGTATTGTTTACACTGTTCATTCTCACATTGACTTTACATTTAATTGTATGCATTCCATTTGACTATAAAGATACCTAACGGTATATTGTCTTCATTAATAAGGTTAAATAGTGCATGAACCTCCCATTTTGATAAGTAAGTTCTGCCAGAAACACTTCATAAAAATATGAAAGAGTATATATTAATAAGTTTCGGATGAGAAATATAATTTTTTTAATTCAACTGAAAACTTGAAAGTTTTTCCTTGCATTTTCTATTGATATGTATCTTTATTTGCTGTTAAAATCGAATTGTTATAAGAGATATCACATTTAATTTAGCATTTAACACAAATGCTGCGTTTAATGCACGCCAAATTATATAATACTTACCTAAAGATATAACAGAGTGCATGATTGTGTTTATCATAAATAATAATTAAATGGAACCCTGTTGCATAGAAAACCTTCCAATGTGTATAAGAAATTTCATAATATAAAAATAGAATCAAAACACATGTAGACGTAATGCAATGAAAAAAATTACTATTTCTAATGCTTGATTTATTTTCGTTCATTTAATCGTGTTCACGTATAACTGTGTACGCTATATGTTGTGTTTTTGTAGTTCAAATTGCTTAATAATTTTCATAAATTTTAGATTACGAATATGAGAAGAGATAGTTTAAGACTACTTAAGATGTCTTAATAGGTAACTAATTATAGCATTGCAAGCAGTTCATAGCATTGCATCAGATACCGTATTGTACTTCTACTTCATTATCACAGTAGAATAACATATACGTTTTGTTAACTGTATTATCTTGAGATTGTATTATAATAAACGATTTTTGTAGGATTTTACTTTTTGTAGACCATATAACAAAATAAAGGAATTGTTTGAATCAGTTCTTACCTCTCTTTAAATCTGTCAAACACTGTTAGGTGAACAGTTTTAGAACAATATGTAGAAGAGCTCCCATGATACATTTATAACAGTTTTTGACAGAAGTGGTTCTAACTTGAAACGATTTCGGACAGATTCTTACAGTTACACCCTAGTGCAAATCGGGATAGTTAAACCGTTAGAAGAGTGCAGACTGCTGCATGTATTTATATAATTATTCATTTGATATATCTATATAACTTATTTTGGTCCTCAATGCTCTTCAACTTCGTACTTTATTTGGCCTTTTTAACTTTTTGGGGTCGAGCATCACTGATGAGTCTTTTGTAGACGAAACGCGCGTATTAACTTAATATATTTATTTATTAAGTTTTTTATTTATTTATTTTTTTCTTTTGTGTGTATATTTTCAATTTCTACCTTAAAACTCGAAGAAGAAGAAGGGGACATTTACAATTACATTCAAGTGTCGTATGCGGATGGAACATGACAAACCTTCTCACAAACTTATTATTCGAATTGTTATTGTTAATTTTGATTTTGTATTTAGCTTTATGAACTGTACTTTGTAAAAGCGTGGGTCCACAATTTACAGAATAATACTTAAACACAAACGATTGTATATTATCTGGTTAACTCGTGTGTTAAAACACTCCCCATGATAATGATATGGTCACAAAGTAACTCGAACATTTTATTTGAAATAAATATCCAATATGTTGTACCCGTAGAAAGTTATCCTCGACCTGTATTATTGTATTTCGAAAGAAAATATTGTACTTGTATTTGCATTTTCATATACAAATACAATCGTTTTGTTAAGAACTAGCTTTAAACATTGAGTTATACAATTGTCTTTCGAAATACAATAATACAGGTCGAGGATAACTTTCTACAGAAATAACAGAATTAAAACATACATTCAGGACTGAAATTAATTTAACCATGTGTTATCTAAAACACTACTTACAGGGAAAATCCGATAATATACGTCATTTTAAACAACCGTAGAAATTGGACAGTAATACCCTAGAACCGATTTTGATTCTTGTACAACTCTACCCCAGAACTGATTATAATAAGTTTATACAGTTTTATGGTAGAACTGTTCTGAAACTGTCTAGATAACCTCTTTGACAGATCATTCTAACAGTTCTAAAGAGAGGTTTAAACTGATCTCTATTATAACTCCGTTACTCTAAACACTTTATTCTACTACTACGACGACTAATGCTACTACTACAACTATTACTAAAACTACTTTTACTATTATTACTACTTCTACTACTACTACTATAAACACTACCGCCATTACTACATATTACTCATTACTAATTACCCATTCCAGCTGCTGCTGTAGATTACAACCGTAATTGCTGCTGCTGTGAAAGTGTTATTGTCGCTGTTACTGTACTCGTTGCTGCCAACAAATTCTACTGTAATGCTAAAGTTAAAGTTAGGATTATAACAAACGAATAATGTCTGTTATCAATAAATTTGGACTGTAATATAAAGTTTAATCATCAATAAGTTAATAATTTTTTGATATGATAGTATTTCATATCAAACCTTTATTTTGTACAAAGTAATTCATAACGTCTGCAGTTTATGGAAAGCAATCCTAAACGCCGAATTTTAGCAATACAGCTATTTTCTTTAGTAAAAGTAATATTACATATTGCATCAAAAAGTGTTTCTGTTTTAGTACAGATTAAACAACGACAAAGAAAGGCAAACCAATTACAAATTTTGAATTAATGCACTCAATCTATTCAAAGAATTCTCTTTATGTCGCCGATATTTACCTATGCTATTGCAATTTTTAAAACCAGACACTGTGTCGAAATTAGTTGATTTTCCTGAAAATGTGTACAGTTTCAATATTTTTAACGGAAATATTTAATAGAACTATAATGGGTAATACAAGACAAAAGTATGTTGCATCAGTGCACCAATCGATTAATATACTGTTTTTTTATTGTCTATCTGAAGCCTCATCTTTTATTAATTAAAACATCTTCGTTTACATTATTGCATTTCAACTGTTACAGACCTACCGTGTCACTGCTAAGTGTAAATAAGCCTATTAGGAAATTATAAACACCTAACGTGCAGACAACTGAAGATATGGCGTAATTGTTTATTCTTTGTAAACGCTATAAAGTAATTCGATAATATGTCTGTCTCTATTAGAATGTTAAGAGAAAAACATATCGAGTCTGTAATTTAAAGAATGAGTTAAGGAAAAGAAAAAGTAACAAAGTAATCTCCTGACATATGTGTACAGGAAGTATATATGTATATATATGAATGATTATTTGATTATCGAACATTTTGTTTTCTGTGATCTCTTTATGTAGCTGGGTATAAAGGTAAAAGGAGATATATGTATTGACTGCAATTTACAAGTAAAGGTTTCGAAACTAATCTGGAACAATGATCTTTCATTTCTTTGGATAGGACATCTGCGTACAGTAGTAAATGTATTTGTTACTGAATATCAAGGAATTTATCATTGGATATACGTTTTAATGGACATTACATATACCATTGTGTTGTTCCCTTTGTTGCTTATCTTCTGCTGCTTCTCAGGTAAGTGGCACAAAGAAGTGACAGTTCGAAAATTTTGAAGAGAACATCTTATATAAATTTTAAAATTTTTACAATTGTGTTTAGTCACAATAACCAGTTTTTCTTTGGTTTTTTTTTATTAGAAAAGATGTCTTTTCAATTATCTTGAAAAAAAATCTGAGCTTCTAAGCCGTTGGATCTACCTATTGCCCTTGTTGATTTAGTGAAGCTCATTAGATATCTAGATGGATGTTGCATACCTGTAATTTTTCTTCATATTGGATAACCGTCATTTTAACTGGACATCTTTGTTCAAAATCGATTAAGATATAATAGGACAGATCACATGATCTCTAAGTAATTACTATTTACATACTAACACGGTCACATGATCTCTAAGTAGTTATCAATTACATACTAACACGATCACATGATCTCTAAGTAATTATTTATTACACACTAACACGATTATCATTAAAATAGTATTTGACTTTTCTCCAATAGGGAATGATTATTTGTATGTTATTGGTCAATTATCAGTTTAATGCCAATGTTAGACGAAAAGATGAGACATTACATCGTCTGTCTTGTATATGACACATGTCCTTGCAACATGTTTCAGAATATAGATATATCATAATGTCTTGAATTTGACGAACTATCGTATGACTAATAGGAAAACAAGAAACATGGGCGTCAACTAAACACCTGTCATTAAAAACACAGATAAGGTCATGTCCACAGAAACAACGAACAGACATACAAAAGTCCACAAGACATTACACAAAAAACAAAACCCAAGCAAACACCGAATTGTACTCGGGTGCACCGGACGAGTTGGCATTTGCATTTTTATATTTCACTACGGATATTTATTGTTTACTCCTGCAAAAATCAATAAAAATATAAGATGATCAGGCATTAAAATAAGTGGTTTAGTAGATGTATCTGGTCACCAAACTTATTTTGATACAAATCAGTATACCTCAGAAGTTTCCACCATCTAAAATCTGCCGAGTAGTGGTGAATGAACCTTTTACATCGCTAAATCATTCAAAAATTAGTAAATTTACATTTTAACGAGTCATCATTTGTAAATACAATGCAAACTTATTTTAAAATATTCCTGTAAAAAGTTACAATCAAAATATTTCATAAATTCTTTAAGAATAATATTTATTAAAAATTATAATGTAATTGTTTTTCTTATGTATTATAGTACTTAGATCACAACACTAATGTAATTTTAATTAACCGTTACAGTGTTCTTGTAAAGTACATTTTCATTTTCAAGGTATCTTTGTCAAGTCCTGATAGTGATAGTCAATTGCCAATTGTTTCAATAATTAACATTTGAACAGGTGTAATCTACAATAAGCAAGTATGACTGGAAAATATCTGTTTTAGACAACATGTTAGTAGTGCTACCAGAAAATGATACGAAACACATACACATTTGCATAAAAATAATCCAAATTATTCAGAACATTTTGTTGAAGTTTGCATTTATTAAATTAATGCTTATTTGCGGCATTATCTTTAAAAAATAACCGTGTTTGCATCTTAGACAATAACATGCATAGGCACAAATGTGAAAAGTTTTCCCGGTCCTGCAGTTTTGGTGCGGTGTTGTTGTCTTTTTGTCGTTTTCTTTTTTCGCTATTGTGAAGTTTGTTTTATTAGATTGATAGTCTATTATTTTTTCCCTCGACATCTTCCTCTCTTTATTCTTTAGACAGCTGTTTACATTTTCTCTAATGACTAACAAATAAAATTGTGTAATAAATATAAACAATAATTGTAATTTTACAAATTGTTAAATTAACAAAATTTCTGACTAAATGTCGATGGTGTAGACTACTTTGTAATTGATTAACTTATTTGTAACTCCAGACAAATCAATCCTATGCAGAAAACAAATATAGCATGCTGCACATTTATGAGATATAATCACGCCATTCCGTAATACGTTCACGGAATTTTTCATATCGAACACTATAGAAACCATCAGTAAGTACAGTTTTTCATTTTACTATTGATTCAATACGATAGGTCTTCATTTTGTGCAATATGAGGACATGTCTAGCTTTCATGAATAGCAATAGAGTTGGCGTATACTCCAAATGACAAGACACTTAAACAATAATAAATGAGATAAATAAACTTGGACAATGCACAAATGTCTAAAATGTGATGATAATAAATCGCTCAACTGAAAACTTGATCAATATTCCAAATATATGTTATACATCAAATACTTTCTAGTACAATGCCCATAGTAAGTTTTGTATCAATAGTTTCAACAGAAAATAAAAAAAAACGTAAATTAATAAATAAATTATTTAAGTCTTAATTCAAAAGGAAAACGCGAATCGATGTAAATAAAGAAAAACTTACAAGTTTCAGTACAAAAGTACGATGTTAACTTTCATCAATTACGTCTACTTGACAGCATTTCGTTAAAAATGCTAGACAATGAATTCTTGTTAATTGTATGATTATCTATGAATTAAACACTTAAGAGTTGAACGTATGGTTGAAATAAATATGACATTGTTTTCTGTTTACGTTCGTAACATAACCAGTAATGATTTCACCAGTTAAAGGTAGTATGTACTACAGACTGAAATGTTTATTAAATGTAAAGGGTAAAATTGTACTTTTGTCGGAGAAATACTTACTTCGAAAGATGTTATAATACTGTGGAATGAGAGTAAACCGTGATTAAAATTGGAAAGGTAAAAAATTCTGAAAACTTTTTGCAGATACTTATAATATCGATAGCTGTAGAATTTGAAGAAAAACGTCTTTTGTTCGGTGTTTTTTGTTGTTGTTCTGGTATAAATATTTGGTTTTGAAATACCTCGTTCATATACATGTATCCAAATTAGATCTCTGAATTTCATTTAATAATCGATGGTTCGATAATTCTTCATTCATAGAATAGAATTCAGTTACGACACTGAATACATGTATACTTATATCAGATGAGAAATAACCTTTACAAACAATAAGACTTTTATTCACTTCATCTGAAATCTGGTGGATAGTTGCCTCATTGGCAATCATTTCTCGTCTTATCATTTTTATATTAACTGCAAAGAAAAAGAAGTCTTAATAACAATACCTAAGTTTCTTATAAGCAATGATTTGTATATAAAAGATTGAATGTATATATACACTGTGCAAGGGCTGTTGAGACCTACCAACAATTCTACTCGTTTTAGCATCATCAAATTTTATTGTTTCATTTAAAAATTTAACCCCATGAACCGAGATAAGTAAACACTAAATGCATTTTAGATTACTAGCGATTATTTTATCATAATGTAAGTATTACGTAAGTATTATCTGAATTTTATGTATTATCAAATACTAACTGACTGCAATTAAAAACTTTAAACCAATAATTTTAGTTGATTCTATGATGGTGATGCAACCAGCATGAAATTGATAACAACTTTCATGAAGATCAAGTGTCACCTCTAGATCTTAAATGACTGTTGAAATGTCAACAAGAAACCAGGCATAACCAAGTTAATGATCGTCTATGATAAAGTATATTTAAATTTGTTTGTCGTTTATTGATATTGATTACAGATCATGGATAATCGCTAGACAACTGTTTAGTGCCTGGACTGGACTGAACTCTTGGACTAGACTGGACTTGAGACTTAAAGACTAGAAAGCTTTAATGTTTCTGAATGTCTTACTAATAAAACGAAACGAGAAGAATCAGACTTTGCTTTGAGGGATAGTTTCATTATAACTATTCCTCAGTATGATCGTGCCCTAACTGATCCTCGAAATATCTTGGGCGTAATTGTTTAATATCGAGATTTTGGGTACCTAATTTCAACAGCTGTAGGACTTTTAACAGGATATTAAAAGTAAAACAACAAAAGTACCGGGAAGCGAAGTCCCTTACTAAATGGCATAAACAAAAGCTCAAACACATAAAACGAATGGAAAACAACTATTATATTCCTGAATTGGTACAGGGATTGACTATGTAGAAAATGGTGGATTAAACCTGGTTTTACAGCTAGCTAAACCTCTCACTTGTAAAACAGTCACATAAAATTATATCATATTGACAACAATATGTGAACAAAACAAACAGACATAGTAGGAAAAAATGTCAAAAATAGGGGTACAGCAGTCAACATTGTGTTATAATCTTAATCACTATAACAACAAACAAATTGAAACAGTTAAAGACTTATGTTCATTCGCAGCAACGGTTCTTGAGCATCAATCTTCGCTTCGCTTCGTAAACCCTTTCAAAACCTCTCAAAAACTGGTGGTCAGGGGTTTCTTTAGTGAAAATGCAAAGGAGTTGCATCAGTTCTAAATTTAATATTCCAAAAGTTAAGAAGTTATGTAATGCCCAAAGCCATATGTCACACACATGGTCAAACTAATGTTACAAAACTATATTTGTATTTTGTAAGTAAGGTTTATTGTGTGGTCATTAAATACAAATTGTGTTTCCTTTCACTGATGCTTGTATCTTGACATTTCCTTATGAGTTTGGATATTTTGGAATGTTGACTCTTATTTGGAACATATTATGATTTTTACATATATTTACAAGAAAGATCTTGTGAATGATTGTAACCAGCCAGTGAACGGTTAGTGTCATGAATTAAAAATATTGTAAGTTTATTTTCAGACATATCCAGTGCAGCGAATTCATTAGTGTCCATACATCTTGTTGGCATTAATTTACGTCTATTCACTGGCTCTGTGTACGTATTCTTTTGAACACGTTTTCAACAATAATTAAATAATCTTAGTTCAGAGGTTTTAAACATCAAATCAATTACTAGTGCTATATTACATGAACTGCAGGACAGAACAGACTTTTGTGAACGGATGAACAATCAATGACCGAAATAAATGATTAACAATATCCACTTCAAGAAATTGCAATGCAATACAATGAAGATGAAAATAGTACTTTATACATTGTGTACGTTTGAAGTATTTGCCTGGATTTACCTTATTATGAATGCTCA